AAAGTGATTGTATTTTGAGGCATGCTTATGTAATAGCATGAGGGCTAATCACTGTTGTTCATTTCGTTTATGGCTGTCTTCCTACATTATCATGATTTGCAAACATTTGTTAGAACAGAGAGCACTTTGGCCCACTTGACTGCCCAGCACTTGCAAGAGGTCAGGGGTGGGGGAGGATTTTAGAGTCAATCATGAATCAGGAACTATTAATATATGAATCAAGACCAATCAACAATTGCAAATGGAATGAACCAGAAGTCAACCAGTAGACCAGGCCTGGACTCTGGCAGGGCCACTGTGCAGAAAGAAAGAACCCATGAGGCTTCGTGACTCTTTGCACTCTTTTCAAGTGATCACTAACCAATCAGCAGGCCTAAGAGGAATGGGGGCAGGTCGGAAGGCTGCCGGCAGCATTTTCAGGGCTTGTATTTGGTTAAAAGAAAAAGGCCAGAGGCATAAATCCAAAGCAAATTCAAAAAGTCTAAGTAGACTGTACTAGTCTCAAAGGTATGAGACCTCAAATGCACAGACTTGTTATTAATACTTGCCATGAAGCAGTAAATACTTTGAAATTGAAAATACATCCCCTTTTTAAGGAAAGACTCTATCTAATTGGAGCAAAGCCTAACCAAGTCCAATGTCACAAAGTTATGATTCACAGTCAGGAGCAGATTACGCAGACCAGTAGTTTTAGTCATGACATTTTAAGCACTCAAAGTAAACATTTTCAAAGTGATTGCATAACAAACCGGTGGCGCTATATTTTTTTAATTTCTTCCTAATATGAGGAAGGCCACAGCAGAATTACAGGACAACTTGTTTGTGTGTGAACTAAAATAATTTTGGCATCAGGCTCTAAGAACAGTTCCTTCTATGTAGTCAATAAATGGAATAGAAGGACTGTTGAAGATGCCTTCCACGGTATGGGGAGATGAAAGAGCTGCTCAGATTTTCTCAGATCATTTTATTAAGAAGAAACTATAATCTTCTCATTATTGCTACTGCTTTGAACTTGCAACAAAAAACTCTTTTCTTGAGGTAAACTTACAAATGTGCAGATTTCTGCATAAGAATATCCCTCATCTGACAGTTAACGCTTCTGGAACAGTAAGAAAAGAGTTCAGCTGAGGCTCCGAGCCCACTAAGAAGAAGAATAGGGAATCAGGAACAGGAAAATTATTTGTAACACGAGAATAAATCAGGACCATTCTCTGTGCTCTTGCTCTCATTTTCTTGCTATGTGGTTATTCCTAAAGCCAGCCAGTTTGTGTATTTGACTATGCATGTCTCATTATCTTGGGATGCAAGAATTAAAAGTCATGTGGCTATTTGTAATATATGTTTGCTGTCCACAAAAACAGGAAAAATGTCTCCAACAGTATCACAAAATTCCATCATTGTGAGACTTTGTCAGAGATGACTACGACTTCTAACAATTCTTTAGCACCGATCTCATAATGGCTGGC